TCGCCGCCCCCCCCCCTACACGCACACTTAATTGCGCGGTACGAAGGGGGTCGGCCCTCCCCCCCAACCGTTGGTAGAGGAAGGGTCACCCCCTCCGCTCCCACCCCATCGCACACACACATACACACACACACACACACACACGCACACACATATAAAGACACATACATACATTTGTGCGCGCTTTATTGACACACACAAATTTACTTGCACAAGGCTCTTTTCGTTTTTTTTTTTTTTCTTTTTTTTTTTCTTGACTTAATTTTTGTATTTTAAATTTGATGAAGAATTTCAATATAACCTTATCACAAAAGTTGTTTAGTTTATTTTTCTGGATACCATAGCTTTTTTTTTTTTTTTTTTGCTGGGACCTTCTCAGATCCTTGCACGATCTGTTCATAATGAATATCTTTTTTTTTATACATTCCATTTTATAAATAATATAACTGGGTGATTGAACAAATGTCTTTTTTTTCGATACATTGCACTTTGTAAATTGTATAACTGGCTGATTATTCATATTCCACAGTATTTTATTATAATTAATACAATAAAATAATCGATTTTGTAATTATGAGAATCAATTGTTGACACACGAAAAATCTACTTCCACTAACCATTCATTTTCATTTTTGTCTTTATGTTTTGTCTTCTATGCTTTCTCTTCCTTATTCCTTCCTACTCTCTACAGAACGTTAGCTGAAAGTTCTCATGCTGCTGCCGAAAGAGCACGATCTGCGGCAAGAGAGCGGCAAAGACGTTTTAGACAAAGACACGTTGAGAATATCCAACTGTGAATCAACAATGCACGCGCTTACACATTTGCCTTATTTGCGCACCAACTTTCAGTGGATATAACTAATCTTGGAAATAGAACACCTTGCACAGACTGCGAAGCAGTAAAGTGGCCTCATGAACAGGAGTGGACATCACTTTGTTGCCTGCGTGGAAAAGTGCAACCACCACTCTGGACGTATCCTGACTCGATGACACATGCGACCCGCATTTTACGTCCCTGGGAAACAGACAGCAGACATGGCAGATTACTGCGATCACGAGCACGCCAATTCAATAATGCGCTTGCCCTTGCATCCCAATCAGTTAAAGAAACACAAATGCCTTGTGGACATTGGTCGAGTATGCTGAGAATAGAAGGTCGGCTTCAACAACATATGGGTCTACTCCTCCGAAATGAAAATCAACAACCATCATTTGCCCAGATATATATACATGATCCGCAACTTCACATTAACACCATTGAACCTATAATCGACCAGATTCTATGGGAAGATTTCCTCCTCACAGACCACGCTGCTTTCTCCCCCTCTTTATACACCTTCTTTGGCACATACAAGCGCAACCGAGAACAAGGACTTAATCGGCCTCCACCCAGCCCCTCCATCGCAACGAGATTCACTCAATCCAAAACATTTTTACTACAACTCCAACGTGATCACTACCACTCCACAGGTCCTCATGCTGGCCTACTGAAATATAGACACGACCGCATTATCGACGCGCACCACAAATACGCATTCATCAGTTCGGCACAACCTACATTGCGCCCCCTTCTTCTTCCCACCCTCGAAACAAATCCTACCTGGTGGCGCCCCCTTGCACCTTGGGGATGTGCACGTGCCACTGCCCTTATCCATGATATGCTCAATTCTTACCACACAATTTCCATCTACAACATCCCACACGCCCCGCGTACATAGGAATACCTCAGTGATCTTATTGTTGTCTATCATCGTGGAATGCAGTCCCAACTTCCTCCTTTCCCTGTGTAGAGAACTGATATCCATCGCAAGGCTCTGCGACTTCTCCAAGCTCAAGACTCCTCTGGCCGCTCTAGATGAAGCTCGCCGACAACAGACAACACCACACCTCTACAACTGCTGAGAAGCTCCTCTTTGTGTACAAGGAGAAAACAAAAGATAAGTTAAATAACTATGGATCTTCGAATGCAAAGTATTAATATAGTACGGAAAAATGGGTATCACATGCCAGGTCCGTGTTTCAAGACGCGCACGATAAACTGATACCGCTATTCTATTTCCTTTCTTTTCCTTTCTGAATTGTTTTTTTTTTTCGATGTCCACATGAAATGTTGCATATCTACATCTTTTGTTGAATCCCTTTTCCTCAATTCTCACAATCTGTCCTCTTCTTGCCGCGGGCGAAGCCGCGGCGGGTCATCTTGTTATTATTTATTGATTGAATAAGAGGGGATGAGATAAGGAGGAGGAGAGTGGTTGACGAAGAAGAAGAGCATTATCATTGGTCTGTGTTGGTGTACATCATCTTCTTCTTCTTTCTTTCTTCTTCTTCTTCTTCTTTCCCTCCCTCTCCTCTCAAGTTCATTCATTTCTTTTTGCAATTAGATGACATTGTGCTTTCTGATGAATGTGTACTTCAAACTTGACCGGGATCATAACATTGGTATCAGAGCGGATTCTAGTTGCCGGTGAGAGTTGACTTATCGACCCTAACCCTAACCTAAGTGGTAAGGGCTGACCACTTAGGGTTAGGGTTGGTCCAAAGTGGGAAGTAGGGCAGCGTGGATTAGGGAAGCTTCCCCCACCTGGTTAGGTCGTGTTGGGTCGACATTGAACCTGACCAGGTTGATTGAGAGTGAGCTTGTGGTGGCGAGACACATCAGGAGGACTTCATGCGACAATTTGAGAGAGGCGACAGTGAGAGGCACTCCCACCTGGAATCAGACGTAAGGGAGACACTTGGTGACTTAAGGGCCTCCCTCAAGTAGGCGATCTTGAGGGAGGTAGCCATTTTGCATCTACGGACTGCAAGTTGCTACTTTGTTCTTCAGCATCAGCGGGGGATCCGGCGTTGCACTTTGGTGATCGAGTCAAACCCTCCTACCTGATAGGACACTAGTGTAGAGGTAGCGAATAAGGTTAGGAGGACCATATGCGGAAGGGGGGTGAGTTATACTTCATCTCAGAGTCTGGGCCACTCAGGTAAGTGCCATGCACCTAAGGGTTGCCCATGTGTGCGTGCATGGTATTGTTTGTCTTATTGGGGTACTTCTGGGTCTCTTTAGTATTCCTCTGAAGTCTTGGTTGTGTGCATTGGTGTGCAAACTGCTTACTGACCTGACAGATGGAGAGATGAAGTATCTTGCTTTGAATGCCATATCTTTCTGCGGTGCTTTGTCTTTTCATTTTGAATGGATGTAGTCTGTAGGCTCTCTCTTAAAGTTGATATTCGTTTTTCAGTACGGTAGAGGCAGAAAGTAGGACCTTGTGGTACTCTTCTTGCTTCGGACTTGGTCGCGACCTATGTGGGGCCCATTGGGACTCAGTGGGACCAGGCCCAAACAAGAAGGGCCCCTTGGAGTCAAATTTGTTGACGCAGTGTCGCTCTCTTTTCTGTCTGGATTTCGTTGCGTTTCTTTTTTATTAGAGCACTCGCTGCCGAGGGGATCTCGGCTGAGATATTTTGCGGACCGAAGACGCACAATCCGATGATTGACCTGCACCTTATACACCACTCAATTCTGAGGGGATCTCTTCTTAATTATCTTTATTTTTTCATTTGGTTGCTCTCTAGTCCATATATTTTGTCGCTCCGGCTCAGAGTTCTACCTTCTATTCTTGTGCTTTCAGTTTGTTTATTTTACCGAAGTCCATTTTATGTCCGTCACAACGCGCACACAAGAGAGAAGAGAAAGAGAGGTCATGGCAACTAAAGGATCTAGTAGTTCCAACATGGCACCAACCAAGCTTTCTGATATTTTAAAGGCTCAAGTGGATGCAGCGGATGACGAGGATAAACCACTGCACCAGGCCCTCTATCAGAAGGAAATGGCCAAGGAGGAGAAGGAGGAAGAGGCTAAGTGGAAAGCAACCACTGAAGGTCTTGAGACCATTAACAAAATAGTCCCAACCATGCCTGATGCAGATGTTAAGAAAGATCTGGTCAAGTACGTACGTGCCCTCATAGATTACCATTTGTTCAACGAGCTTCCGAGTATAAAGTCCCAACTACTCGACAAAATGAGTCGGTTGCGTACTCAGATGATAGATATGGCCAAGGAGCATCGCGATCAGATACAACAGATGCCAATCATGCATCAGGCCCAAATCTCAAGCTCTTTTCCCCTACCTCTTGTTGCTAACCATTCTACCTTTGCACCTCTCTATCCTTCTTCCTCTTCTTATTCTTCGTTGTTGAGTTTGGTGCAAACCTTTCATGACTTGCAACAGGTGTTGGTTCCATTGCCGCTACAAGCAACGACGCAAGAAATTCTGCAATTGTTGCAGCCCTGAGATCGGACCCAACAATGGCTGGTTCCAGCTATAGCAGTCCATATATGGATAGAAAGGCGGTGATGATACCCTCCAGATATGATGGCAAGGAAGATGTTGAGTCCTGGATCAGCTCCATGAAAGCTTCCTTTGAGGTACAGGGCACTCAAAGAGTGAACCAGTCCTTGATCCTTGGGGCGAACGTCGAGGCTGTCGTAAGGGGCTTCCTAGAAGTCCAAGCTATGCAAGTTGGGTATCCAAAGATCGATCTAACGGAGTGGCTTAAAGTCACCCCGGCCACCGCTCTCGAAGAGATACTAGTTGCGCAGTACAAGGACCCACATGTTGCAGCTAGAGTAAGGATCCAACTCGACGATCTTAACGCAACAACTGGTAGGGCACAGTGCAACAATTGCAATTGCATGTCAACAAACTCTTTGCGACACCAGAATTGGAACTGGCAGCGCGATCATGCTTGGATGTTGTCAAAGGTACAGCTCCCACCAGTTTCACCAATCGCCTAGGCAGGGATTTCTTTGGTTGATGAAGGATGTAGTCAGTCTCGAGGCAGGAGACCTCCTTACCACAGCAAGCACCAAAAATACCTTTGTTCGCGGACGGTTCGTGGCAGCAACCGTCTTGTTGTGCTTGACTTGCTGGTGGTGGAAGGGGAGGCCGAAGCAGATGACCCCACTCTTGGTGACGACGAAGAAAAGGACGTTGATACAGTGTACTCTTCCACCCAAGAATCCGAGATCAATAACGTAGATGAAAAAATTGGTGCCTTATAAAAGACTGCCCATGCTAAAGGAAACCAAAACCGGAACTCAGTAAGGAACTTCATTGCACTCCCTAAGGGAGTCAAAATCCCAGCCAATCCGGAGGACGCAAGTATTAAACCTTGGGTGGACCTTCGGATTAGTGAGGCTGAATGAAAGGCTAAATTAAAAAGAAGGTTACCTGCATCGCCAAAAAACTAATCATAAGGTCCACGGATGCTTTAGGCTGCAGGGAAACCTGAATCGGGTGTAGAGGGTTCATCAGCACACTCTACAGCAAGGGAGTCAGGACCGGTCAGTGATAGTTCTCCCAAGGAAAATGTCACAGACCAGCAGTCCTCCCTTGAAGCCCCAACTTCTGCTGATTCCAAGGCTAATGACTGCCATGTTTTGTATGTTGAGCCTTGGGAGGAGTCAGAAAAGGTCGACTTTCACTATCACCTAGAGCATTGGGCTGAGATGAAACAGCAGCGTCCTAAAGGGATAGCGAAGTTTATCTTCTTTAAACTTCTCATTAACCACTGTTATCTCCGTGTCTTGATTGATTGTGGTGCCACAACTAATTTTATGTCGCCACACGGGATACACATAGTGGGCTTGGGGATGAAGCAAGTGGCTTTGCAGAGCCCTTGCCGGACTCAAATAGGCAACATAGACGTTGTCTTATCCACGCATGCTGTCAAAGGTGTGCGCACTACCTTTGACAAATAGAAGACTATCACAAACGCATTGAACTTCTATGTCCTTGACAAGTGTCCCTTTGACGCAGTCCTCGGGTTGGGCTGGTTGCAGTCCCAATACGAATGGACCAAGTGAAAGGAACCGTTTTTCATGGTCAAAGATGCACAAGGGAACGAACTTTCTGTCCTTTTGGATGAGAAACTTGACTCCTTGGTAACTTTTCTTAATGCCATGCAGTTCTGCAAGAAGTGGCGTAGGCATAAGGAGGATGGACAGTTGTATGTTGCCTTTGTTCGTCCTACTCATGTACCTTCTACTTTTGCGGCCGGTAATAATTATACTTTGCATGATAAATCTACTTTTGCCCTACTACTTCTATTCCAAATGAGTCTACTTCAGAGTCGGTTGATCTAGGTGATCCTTTTTCTGATCCTCCACCCCAGCCGATCCCAACAATCATCCAAAGCCTAGTCAACCGATTTCCGGAAGTTCTGGCTAGACCTCGTGGAGTCCCTACGCGATCGGTCCGACACACTATTGAGTTGGTCGAAGGCGTTGTTCCTCCAAAGGGCTATACATACCGTATGGGATCCGGCGAGTTGGAGGAACTTCGAAAACAGATCGATGAGATGATTGACAAAAAATGGATTAATCCTAGAGAATTTGAATTCGGTACACCCGTTTTGTTTTTCCCAAAGAAAGGAGGCAAACTTCGTATGTGTATTGATTACCACAGTCTAAACTGCATCACAAGGAAAAATGCATACCCATTGCCATGCATAGATGATTTGCTTGATGTTGCAGGTGGGTGTAAGGTCTTCTCCAAGATCGATCTCCAGTCTGGGTACCACCAGATTGAAGTCGATCCTGGGGACCAGCACAAGACTGCGTTCAAGACACGTGATGGGCTTTACGAATTCATCGTAATGCCCTTCGGTCTCACGAATGCACCAGCCACCTTTCAAACTCTTATGGACAAGGTCCTCCGCGAGAAGATGGGTCGGTTTGTGGTTGTGTATCTTGATAACATTCTGATTTTCAGCAAATCAATTGAGGAACATATGAAGCACCTTGAGGAAGTGTTCACCTTCCTCAAGAAAATGCAACTCCATCTCAACTTAGAGAAATCAGAGTTTGGGAGGGACAACGTCATCTATCTTGGGCACCGGTTGTCTATTGCAGGCCTTGAACCTGAGGCACCCAAGGTTGAGGTCATACGCAAGTAGCTTTAACCCGTGAACATCTGCGAATTGCGTTCGTTCCTGGGTCTTGCATCATACTATTCGAAGTTCGTGCCCCCATTTTCTATTGTTGCTCGCCCATTGTCCAAACTAACAAGCAAGAACGTTTCTTACACGTGGGATGCAGCATGCGAGACCGCTTTTCAAGCCTTAAAAGAGGCCTTGGTAAGTTATCCCGTACTCCGCATTGCAAATCCCAAACTCACATTCGTAATCACTATGGATGCGAGCCAATATGGGATTGGTGCAGTGCTGCAACAAGATGACGGTGATGGCTTGCGGCCGCTCGAGAACTACAGAAAACGCATGCCCAGCAAAAAGGTAGTTACTTCCACCTACATTAGCGAGCTTTATGTTCTGCGCAAGGCATTGAATCATTGGAAGCACTATCTTTTGGGATGCTATTTCAAGGTCTTCTCCAATCATGAGACATTGAAATGGATCAAGGAGTAAACCACCTTGTCCCCTACGTTGACCCGCTGGTTCCATGAGATTGACATTTTTTTTTTATAATTAAAACGCAAAAAGGGTTATTATAATCGATTTGTTGATGCATTGTCTCGGCACCCCGAGTATATGACCTGCCTTCTGCACTCCTACGACCTCCGTAAGAAACTGAAGGAGGAGCTCATGGAACAAACTGCCCAGGACCCGGACCTTAATTTGATCCTTGAGCAGTTGCGGGTTGACCCCAACATTCAGCCTGATTTTCACGAATGTGAATGACTGGTTTTCCGACCCTATGGGAAGAATGACCGTTTGTGTGTACCCAAACATGAGTCTCTCCGCACACACTTCTTGGACTTGGCTCACAGTCGGAGTGGACACTTCGACATGGAAACGACTTACGGAAACCTATTACAACAGTTTGATTGGCCTCATATGAAAGGATCTGCTGAAAAGTTTGTGGTTGAGTGTCAAGTCTGTCAATGAATCAAACCATCAACACAAAAGCTCATGGGGCTGGAGAACTACTAAGGCGGATCCAACCCTTGTCCAAAAGAAACATCGAGTTGCACATGGAGAACCGTAAGCTCCTCCTCGCTCATCGGATAAATGCAACCTCTCGGCGACACGACACCAGCCTCAAGAATGATCTCGTGAGAGATCGGCCAATCCAGCACCACACCGGTAGGTGACTCGAAGATGTCGGCGAACTCGTCAAGCAACCGCACCACACGGGGATCCGAATACAAGTCCGTGGGTGAAGAGTCGGCTACCGCGACGGTCCATAGGAAACATAGGCCAATTTCGTCGGGTTGCTCGTAAGCACAAGTAGCCCGGAATGACTTGGCCGTCAACACTTGGCACCGAATCGAAGGCTGTGGAAGAGGAATAATACACGAAATTTCGGCTCCGAAGGCGTTGCGAACAGTAAGAGTCCACCGGTGGAAGTTGACCGTGTGATCCGCACTTGCAAGCCAAGGCATTCCCAAAATAATGTCGAAGTCCATGTCCAAAATGTCGAACGTCACCGGTTTGCATGCATGAGGTGCGAAATACACTGGCACGGCCTCAATGTAGAGGTCGATAAGTTGCTGCGTCCTTCCGTCTGCCAACTTGATCACCGTCTGGTTTGCCTTCCTTTGAACTTGTAAACCAAGGCCAGCCTTTTGCATGAAGGCTTGGCTCATAACATTACGAGATGCGCCGCTATCCAGCAAAGCGCTGCAGGACGATTGCCCAACTTGGATGCGGACATAGAGGAGCGGTGCGTTGTTGTCGTCGTACCGCTGATTGCGAAACTCGCGGGCCACCTTGGTAACATACGCAAGGATGTCCCCCACCGCGACTTCGTCATCCGTCGGCGAAGTTGGTGGTGCATAAAAGGATAAATACGTGTGAAGATGAGCGCATAGTGCTGCGCATTGCGGTCCCGGCAAGCGGCCCGTGGTCAGGAGATGAAGCCATGTGAAATCCCCAGACGTGAGCGGGTCAAATACCCCTATGTTGAACTCGTGCACCGAATCCCATGAAGAACCACTTGAAGACGATAAGTCGCCGCTGTCGGACGGAGAAGATGCCGCACACATGTCTTGTCCTTGAGCATGAGTATCCAGCGTAGGAACGAGCCGGACAGCATAGTCCTCAAAAGAATAAAGAAGAGGACTATCGACTTCCGCATGTGCCTCGGAACGAAGGGCGGTCACCCACGAAGTGACGGGTTTCAAAGGCGTCGAGAGTGTCGTCAAGTCACTCCTGGCGGTGCTCGGTTTCCCGATTTGCCCTTGCCTTTCGACTGGCAGGCCACTGTCTCATGACGATCGTTGTTGCACCATAGGCAATAGTGGAATCTCGTGCGTGCTTTGTACGCCGTTTCGGAGAGACCGAAGTGGGACCATAGGGCTGGAGCTGTTGCGCCGGGCCCGGGGCTAGATATGGTGTTTGTCTTCGCCTTGCCACGTCCTCGGTCTTTGCCGGGGCGGCCACCTTCCTGGGCGTCTGCGAGTCTGTCCCCTTCATTGGCAGACACGGCCTCGCTAGTTTGGTCGTTTGGCGTTGCCGCCTCGACCACAGCCACTTTCGGCCGATGCTGATCTCTGCCCAGGCCTAGCGCAAACGAACGCGGGAGATTCTTGGCCTCCTTGTTCGTGACAATAATCTGCGCGGCCTTGTCAAAAAGTTATGCCGGTGTCGTAAGGGTGTCCTCGACGTGAGTCAAGGCATTGCCCAACGCCGGACACGACATTGAGATGAAGTAGTGTTTGATGGCTTTGAAGCCCATTTGAATGTCTGGGACGGATGTCAAGCGTTGGTACTCGGCAATCCAATCAACACTCGGCAGTGTGCCTTGTTCGAAGACCATCAGCTTGTCCATCGCCTTCATCTCCGGCGACACTACTTGGAACCGCTTATGCCACGCCGCCTTTAGATCATCCCTGCTGATCTTGGTATGCAAGTCAGCAGCTACCACTCCGTACTTGGACAAGAGATTGTCTAACCATGCTTTGCACGCTGTCGCGCCCCCACCGTTCCAAGGCCTGGTGCGATGTCTCTCCCCGGGCCGAGTGCGGTGGGTTGGTGGACTGGCAGGCTGTCACGCAGGATTTTGGAGAGTTTTAGGAAAATTGGAAGTGAAATCACAAGCAGCCTTTGGCACACAGTCGAGTAGTCAGTGTTATCCCTCCTGCCAGCGGCGACACGACTTAGAGTAAGGCGTTCGGTTTTATCGCCTGCACCTGACCCCGTGTAAAGGTTAGAATCAAGGTCACCGGAGTCCCTATTATCCAGGAGTCCTTCAAGTAGCCTTGAGTGTAACCTGATGTGGAGTGATAAATAATTTGTCATCTCATGCATAAACATTTCATGCATTACAGGACATGCATCACAAATCAAATGGTATTGAGAGGATGAAAAGACCAGAAAACCAGACTCTGCAAGAGCATGACCAGAGATACGAGACTGAAGAGTAGTACACAAAGAATGGGGGAGGCAGCCATAAAGAAGGGGCTGCAGTCACTAATAAATAATAATAATATCATAGTACATCTCAGTGACTAAAAAGATACGAGCCTCAGTCAATGACGACAAGTGGTACCCCCTCATGAGTGGGCTCGACTGTCTGGGACCCCGTATCTGGTACACGCTGGTCCTCCTCATCATTGAAAACCTGAGTGGCCATCGACTCTGGGACCACGTAGCTGATGTCAAAGGATGTCGTAGGATCGATCTTGCTGATATATGCCATACATCTGGCCATCTCCTTGTCCGCAACACTCCGAAGGTATAGCTCCTGAGCGAGGGAAATGCTGCCAGTGCCACCGATCAAGATCTCGATCCGCCCCTTGCCGTAAATGTAGTCATATGAAACCTCCAGAAAACGGTCTCCATAGAGAGGCTTCCAAAAAGCCTGTATGACGAAATCTGCTCTCACCAAATGGTTGTAGCCATCCCCAAGATATGGGACTGGTCCCTTCCCCCTTGAAGGGCCGACTACCTCCTTTGACCTGGGTCCTCCTGACATGTAATGTCCGAATCAATCACCCTCAAGCAAATAACGTGCCAAGAGATAAGCAACCCGTCGTAGGGCTGCCTTCCGCCTGCGTCTCGCTCCGGCAACCAATGTCATAAAATGCTCTGGGCCTGCTCCAAACTCAGGCGTACTCAGTCCCTGTGAGTATCCCAATCAAAATAGTCCCCCAGGTCAACGTCGCTCACACATCAAGGCTCTTGGTCTGACTCATCCGTCTCTGACCTCTGTAGACAGGTGGTAATAGGAATCCCAAATCCGGCCACCTCGCTCCTGATCCTCCTGTCTTGACGCCTCTTTTCCTTGCTGCCACCTCTGCTCAGCGGTTTAGGGTTACAGCCGTCAAAGTCATAGAGGGCACCATCTGGTGCAAAAGGGATCTGGGGAAACACCACATGTAACCAGTGTTCCCTCCAGTAACTCTCCCTGCGAAAGATATAGTCAGCAATGCGGTCGTAGGTGGTTCCCTTAACTCCCTGCCCAACATCTCTCACGTGATAGGTGATCACCAATGTGTACCTTGATGTGGGAGAGTCGTTGGCCCAAATGACGAAGCTCTGATGCCCGATGTGTCGATAGCAAAACTTCTCAACCAGCTTACCCCATGTAGGGGTTGTCTCATGTTGAGAAGCCACCTTGACTAACCTGCAAAATAATATAGAATGCCCCTGGCAAGCTGCTATGGCAAGCAATGATGTCCTGGAGATGAGGGGGATATCAAGAGCCCAGGAGAATAACCCAACTCGATAGGGTCAAAGTGGTCAGCACCTCAATAGACCCTCAAGCCAAATTGGTGGCAACCAACTCAATATAGGAGCCCGCCTGAATGGGCCCGGCTGAACAGCAATCAACTCAGTATAGGAGCCCGCCTGAATGGGCCCGGCTGAACAGCAACAACTCGAGATAGGGGCCCGCCTGAATGGGCCCGGCTAAATAGCAAACAACTCGATATAGGGGC